AACCTAAAGCTGCTGCAGGAGAAAGGAAAGACTGTAAGTGCTCCATTGGTAGTTGGAGGGTAGACTGTCCTAGGGCTTGCTTCTCCCTGGTCTTGGGGAAACTAGTCTGCAAGACATATTCTTCTATGACAGCCTCTGCCATCATGCCTTAGTCTTGTGTAGGATTCTTGTCACCACAAAGTTTGTTGTGTTCTGAAAAGTGGTGCAAAGATGCAAAAGTGTCACCAATGGAGAATGTGTCTACTGGCTTCCATGCTGATTAACCCATTTATAAACATTTGTAGTACTTTGTACCATTTTTCAGATCATGACATTTTGATAAGTACCTCCCGTTATTAATTCTCTTTGCAAATGGATATTTAGTTATATCCTTAATCCACCGTCTTGTTTACTTGTTGGTAGACATTTTGAAATGAGGTCGGATATTTGCACAGTTTTACATTTAGCAATTAAGTATTGTTGCTCACAGTTCGTTTAATTTCCCTGTGCTACTGCAGTTATTAACTTCCCTTTTCCTGGCTTGGATAATGTTAAAGTGATAAGCCAGAACTGCCATATTGCCAACTTCAGTGATAATTGCTGTAATAGTGACCTGTTAGCCTCTCTATAGGCTAATCAAGCTCTCTTTTTGATTTTCCAATCCAAGGAAATATGTAGAAAGTAGTTGTGTCCCCACCAAGTCCTTGTTGTTCCAATTCTATGGTTTACAATCGCTGATGCTACACCTCACCTAAAAACAGGAAATAATGGCTAGCTATCATTAAAGGGATACTGTATTCCTGGCACTAAAGTTCACTCTGCCTGTATGCGCTTTAGCCCTCCCCATAGAAAATTATTGAATCAATGCTGTCCTATGGGGGAATAGATGACGCTGGATGTCCTCATGCAGAGTGTTAGGATGTCCAGCGTCAGTTACTGGACCAAAAGTCTCTTCGGATCCAAGAAACCCTTGAGTAGACAGCCACTGGCGGCAGACTTAGTGCTGCAATGTTGCTGTTTCTCTGGAACTGCAATGTTTTACATTGCAGCACTAAGTGCAATAGATACACTGCACCCAGACCACTTCAATGTGCATTGAGAAAATGTGATTCCTAAAGTTTTTTGTTAGTTCACTGATGGACTTGGTTGCTGTGACCGGAGTTGTACTATATTTGTTTGGGTTTTTTGTGTTTTAAATGTAAAGTGCACTTGTTCTAGTGTTAAATGCATGTGCAACCACTGCTTTTGTAGTCTGGGAAATTACTGTTCCAAATAGTGCACAAAAATTACGTTCACATAAACACAAAAGGTGTTTTGTCTTTCTTCAACACCAACAGATCTGTACACAGACTATCTCTCCATCCCATTTCAAGCATTCTCTTTTGGCTAAAAAAAGTATAGGTATAGACTTAATTATGTATGTCTCCGATGCCTCACCTTTTGGTTTTGCGGACTGCTTTTCCTGTGATACCATACAAAGAATTGAGCCATGGAAGTGGTAGTGCACTAAGGATTAACATTGCTGGCCAAAAGTATTTCTAAAGAAGAAGGGAGAATAATGGTCTGATGCTTGGTCTAAACAGTTTATAACTAGATAGCATGTGGATTGAAGACTAGTGTAATACCCATAGTTCTTTGCATTTGTGTTACTTTTATGCCAACATTTTTGGAATAACACCTAAAAGTCGCGAGTTGTCTCAGAATAGATATTTAATTGAAAATCGTAATTGTTCTTAATTCCCCCAAATGCTTTCAAGTTGCAGCATTTTTAACACTTTAGATTAGGTCTAATGGATTTTCTCATCTGTGGGTGCTTATGCTGATCTATCTCAAATTTAAATTGAAATAAACATCTAACACAGTCTGACATACCATGTTGTCAATCCTCACCAATCTATTATATTGATCTGTATTTCTAGTTTAAGGTGCTTGTATAAATAACACTTAAGTCTGATATTTTTATTTTTGTTTTATTCTCAGATGAATATGATACAGGGGCCATTTGTAGATAATCTTGCACTAAGTGCAATATTTTGCAAGGCAAATCGTTAATAAATTTATATAATTTTTTTTTTATATATATATAAATCAGATTTTTTTTTTTTTTTCCGCACATACCTTTTATATTATTGGTCTAGAGGTAAACATTTCTGGTTAGCATTAAATTTAACCTGTAAATTTGATGATAATATAAATGGATGACTAGATCTGAAGTTATCAATGGCACGGCCATTTTGTCAACTTACTTTACAAATTCAGCTTTCTAATTCAACTCCTGCTTTGTCTTTGGCCTAATCGAAAAATTTAGGTCAGGGTGTAGTCTTTCTTGGGCCAAGAATTCTATGTAGTCCCACTTTTCCACATTCTATTCATTATTAAACATACTGTTTATGTTTTTAAGAAAATTTAAAGAAAAATAGTATCCCATAAAGTCAAAACCATTAATGCACTCATTGGGAACCTGTATTTTTTTATGCTGCTGGAATCTATATGAAACTTTTAGGTTGCACCACCTCTACAATTCTTAAAATAAGTATTTATATAAAAACACAGTGTGTTAATTCAAACATATAACAAGCATACAAGATTCATATAAACAATATTGTGCCAGTAACAAGAGATATAGTATTCAAATTAAGAGCATGCTTTGCAATAAAAAAGTACTTATTACCACTTTCCATTTTTCATAAAAGCCAGTAATATAATGAATACCGCCATCTAGTGGAACTTAAAAACGGTTACATCTTCATTTTCTCCTACACAGTCTAAAAACCACACCTTATTTTCCTACATAATTGTTCTACCCCACATATCTCACTCTGGCACATAAACACATTTTGAATTTAGTATAAGAGTAACAAGGAACATGTACACACAAGATCTCACATTGTAAACTCACTGCTCTGGCTACAAAAAGGTTTGTAATTCAGATATGAGAACCTCTAAATGTGCTTAGTGCACATACTGTGTTGGATGTTAATTTCTTTGCACTGTTTTTGCATTAAATCATTATCTCTAGTACGCCACGTTGATTCAAAGAAACTTAATCCATGATTGACTCCCATTAAATCACTTTTTTTTTTTTTTTTTTTTTTTTTTTTTAAAGCACATAAATGATTTCTAATATCCCTTCCCTTCTTTAGCCTTCCGTATTACTACCCGTCCCAGCCGTATTCTTCGGCGTAGTCGTGGCTTTCCTGTATTGGTGTTACGGTCTATTGTGGTAGAGAAAGGTACTAGCATCACAATAAATACTGTCTGTCCTCTCTTCACTTACATGTCCCATCCATATAACACAGTGCATGATCAGGCAACAAAACAGGGCACCAGTTCCTCACACACAATTCCACCTGTAACAGTGCCAGACCAGTTACTAACCATCTGACATCTGTTCGTCCCTTCTTCTTTGTGCCCAATGTGGCTTGTCTCTAGATAAATGTGCTTCATTGTCTCTGAATGTCTCATTGGTGCCTGGCACGTTGAAAAGAGAAGCTTTGAGAAATACCGCAGACCTGTTGTAACTTTTTAATTTCTTGTTCAGTAGGAACAATTCCATGTCACAGTTCTAAAATTGGAATATTCACCAGGTACAATCTACTAGATTTTGTGGTGATTGCTCCGTATTCAGGACATGGCGTCACAATTTTTTTTAGGAACTTTTGAACCTTCATTTGTATAAAGAATGCGAGACGTTTTGGCATCTTCCAGTAGTAAGATCTCATCTTTGCATCTAAAGTACAGTCAGCCTGTCCAAGAAAAGGGGGCCAGTCTCTTTGCATTGTACTAATAAATAAATAAATAAATGATTTATAAGGTTAAGGCTGTTTTAGATGGATACAAGTATCCTTTAGAATGGCTGTGGTAAATCCAAACCAATTTGTAAATACCAGAGGGAGATAAACTTGGTTGTGTACTGTTCCGTCACTGACCATTTGAACCATAAACTTCAGTCAGTCACAGCTGAAAAAAATGTAACCAATGGAATGGACTAGGATTTATTGATTGTGCAATCCCGTAGCTACCAAAAGTGAACCTTCAATCACATTTTACATTAGAGTTTATACCACTTTGCAATTTACATATAGGCAACTCGCAGCTCTACAAGATTTGTTGGATTTTATAAATGCAACATAACTCCGCAACCTGTATTGGAAGTAAACTCCATGCAAGTATGTTTATCCTTGCATTATTTTAAATGAAGGAAAAATATCAAATTTTTTAACCAGTAGAATATTTTCATATATTTAGATCTGTTTCAGAACGCTTTTCCTATTCTGTAGAAGGCCTGCCCAGTTTCTCAAAGCTTTGTGTTTTTCGTTTGTTTTTTATTAAAAACTTTCTTAAACAAGAAACATGATGATTAGATCAGATTACACATATTGTGTTTATTTGTGCATGGGTGTCTTTGTGCTCCTGAATGGGGAAAACTAAATTGTTTGGATATATCATTATTCTACACTAAATCAATGGTTTGTTTTTCTATACTCTTGTATGTAGACTTTCTGGTAGTTTGTCATGCTACATCTATGCTGTTTTTGATAAATGTCTAGGAATTGTGTATCTTGAGGCTTATTGAAATATATTGTTCATTACATGCTTTAAATTATTTTGAAAAGGGGGAGTCGACAGAAAGGTAGGTCAGCCTGGCATGAATGCACACTAGGCTCAATAGCTATCGCACTGTTGGGAGATGTACATACATATGACAGATGCATATATATTGACATCATTTAGCTACTGAGAGGAAATATCGGGAAATTTTTAAATATATGCCTAGTGGTAAACAAAAGTATTAAGTATTCCTAATGAAGCTAAGGTAAGCATTTTTTTATTTTGTAAAAAAAAAATCTCTCTTCACTGTAAATATGGCTTATGGGTGCGAGTGAGGGATCCATTCTACAGCTTGTGGTATACCCATATTTTACCATGGAGTCAAGGTTTTCTAGTCATTCTTTCTTTGCTTTGGTAATTTGAACTGAAGATCTATGGACCTGGTGTGAAGTTGCTCCTTAGGAGTCTTGATGCTGGGGAATAGGCTGCAATTCTGTGAACATTCACATTCATTTCTTTACTGTCTTCCTACAGAGCTCGTGGCCTTGGATGTCTGTGGTGGCCGCATTGGTTGCTGTGACCGCAGTAATGCTCTATCCCGGCTTCACCAGGGGAGCGCCGTGAAAGCCATGTACCGTCCTCCACTGAAGCTGGCATTGCTCACATTTTGGAAATCACAAACACACACACAAAAAAAACAGATCCTAATCTTCCTTTTTACCTCTTCAGAACCCAAGGCTCTGAAAAAGCAGAAGGCCATTGCTTTAAACTGTAATATATGTATGTGTACAGCAGGGGAATAAACCGATGACATTATTCAACTGTAAAGCAGCAATTGCTTGCAATTTTTCATGTCCATTTTAAATCTGGTTTTGGTGGGATTGGGAATAGTGTTTTGGTGGCCTCTGAGGGGTCCCTCGGTACCAAATAATTTATGATGTTTGAGTTTTTGGCTGTTTTTACGCTTGAATCACATTGTAACAAATCCATAAGGAGAACCCATCACAACAATTTGGATATATTTTCCAGAAAGAGAGGGGTCCTATCACCATGCGCTTGGTCAGAGGTTTCTATGCTCCTCATAAATTTCTGGTAATGATTCATGCCTAACGCTTGCGTTTATCACAGAGCTGTCTGGCACAAGCTCATTTTTATAATGGAAACCTCTTTCCATTCCCAGCACATATTTTATTGTCCACAGTTTATGGGTTTTAAGTCCAATTCTGTTCAGTCTTTTACCACCTCATATATCCAAAGTACTTACAGCAGCACCGATAATCTTGTGTGTATTTGTACTATATTGTATTGCTATCCTCTTCGTATCCATGGAATCCTGTCAACCCTAATGACAAACAGTACTTTTATTCTTTCAGTTTCAATGTAATATATTGTACTGCATTTATAAAGTGATTTTTTTATTTTTATTTTTCCTTTTTGGTTGGAGGTGAAAGATTCAGGCAAAACATCTCATTTATCGCTCCTAATGTTAATGGTCACTGTATATTAAAATGTCAGAGGAGAAATAACTTTGTCTCTTTATGTAAGCTTTGATTAAAACAAAAATAAAAATTGGGATTTAGGGAAGTGCTAGGTTACTCCAGAGAAAATCACTTTATATACATATATTCTATTTATTTAAAGAAAATGATAGTCTAATGGAAAACTGTGGTCAAAAGCTCCACTGTCTTAAAACGACTTGGGTGAGCTCTTAAATGTTCATTAAACTGCTGCTGTTACTGTGCAAGCACAGTACCCAGTTAATGCAGGCATGTGCAAGGAGAGTATGGATGCATATTTTTAGCCTTACTAGATCAGTTTACACATACATCATTATCACTGCCTTAAAAGCATGTTTGGCCTTTGCTACCATTTGAAACAGGGCAAAACAAAGCCAGCTAGAATCCAGGATAGCACATGTCTATACGCTGGCGCGAGCTTTGTTATACTGCAATCGTAGGACTGCTAGAGGGCCATAAAGTTAGCCATTATGGATCATTTGAAATTTCAAACACACTTCTATTCCCTATACAAACTAGTCCCCATTGTGGTAGTTCATTTGAGTTTATTTCCACATGGTGGTATCACAAACAGGATGAAGCTATAAAATTGAGGTTTTTCTTGATCCATGCATTGACTTGAAGTCCTGAAGTTTAGGTTACTACTTCATTTTAAGAGTCAGCCATAAGTTTTAGCAGCCATGGTTTCTCTAATTATTCTATAATGTATGTGCATGCAGCAAGGCATCCTGCTGAAAGTGAATCGGAATAAAGATGTCTGTCTAATACCACTACTCAGAATGTAAATCTTAAAGCGATTCATGTGCTTTGGTAACTGATATCGGATGTGTAGATTTACCCAGCAGTGACCTTATTCGCGCGGAATAGAATTTCTCTTGATTTGTTTGAGAAGCAATCATAAAAATTTAATTGTGGGCCCAAGGTGATAGAAAGAAAATGTATCATTAAATTCATGTGTGATCTGTTTGGTGAACTATAGCAGTGTCCTAATAATATGCCAGTCTAATGCTTTTGAAAGGTTTTACTGGCCTGCAGCCTTTGTTTGTGGATATATGTGGGTATATGTATATATCTATATCATGGATGTTGCACACATACCCCGTCCTTATTAAAGCCACACAGTCCTTCAAACATGGAATGCCTTCCTAGCTACACTTCATTTGACATCAAGTTCCATATTTTTGGAATTATTTGTCAAGAGATTTGTTCTCAACTATATTTTATCACTCAGCAAAACTACTATAGGAAGGCTTGGGGGTGACTGCAATGAAGATATGCATCAGCCGGCCTTGAATTCTTCTACTGTGGGGAGGAAAAAGAAAAAGCTAAGGCACCAACATGAGATTACAATACACTAATTGATATTGCTGTGTTCTAAAGGTACTTTTGTTTTCTTCTGTATTTGCATCGCAAAATACTTTTCATATCAATAAGCATAAAGCATCAGGTAGTCGCATATCATTGGTTATATGTGGCTTTTCTTCAATAAACATTGTCACACCCTCAACCTTTTTCCTAATCCGTAGTGATCACTGTACACACAGCGTATGCCCTACCTGTTGCCCACCTTGTCTGCCATTTTCTGTCAGGTATTAGATTTTTGCCTGTTTAAGAACTCCCTTGAGCAAAAGCTTGGTTGTATAGATTGTTTTCTTTGTCATTATCAGACGAGAATAGCTAAAAATAAAAAAACAACCTTGATTTATCTCACTCTAAACTGAAACATAAACTACACATGTTGCTAATATATGGTCACATGAGCTAGGTACATTGTTTTTTTGTTTTTTTTTAAACCGTGCATTGTGCCAGACGTCCGTCAGCTTCCAGCGATATATGCTTGGCTTCACATTGGCTGTGTTCTGTAATCTGTACTATTGGAACGTCACATGGCTTAAAGGCTTAAACGTCTACTATTAATTGCAAGGTTCAAAATATCTCTGCAATATTTGTTAGCCTCTAAAATATCTTGTACTTTGTCAGCAAAGAATTAGTTGCTCATTTATTCCAAGACACTTAAAATTAGGCTCTCCCCATACACATTTGCCCAAATCTATACTCCTCCTAGATTACTTTTTAATTTGTCACCGTGCACCTTTGCAGTCAGCGCCATTGATAGTCATTACTTCTGTGATGACGTGTGCTGCACGGTTTCATGTGCCCAACAGGGAGGATTACAGTTTATCTGCACATTGCACCCAAATTCTTGCATATCTCAGAGCTTGACTGGAGCTCCGCCACTTGGTCAAGTTTTATCAACTTGATTATACAGAACGAAAAGTAGTCGTCGAGGTGAAAGCTTTAAACTCAAATTATGTACAAATCAGTCAACATTTATTTGGAAAATGATGATCTGCAAGAGTTCAGACGTAATCCTAAACCACATTTTAAGCTCTCTAGCTATGAAGAATATATATTACTGTAAACAACCCATTAAGTTAAAAATCTCCCTGCTAATTTATAGTGTCATACTATTATGAACTGTATTTAAACAGTGGTCATACAATCATTTGTGGCTGCTCATTCACAGAGCTAGTTCCATGTTTTTCCTCAAAGTACTAATTGCAGACACTTGTGGAGTGGGGGTATCTTGTATGTTTTTGTGTGCGTTTCATAAAGGAGTGTGTGTGTATGTGCATATATGTATGTATATATATATATATATATGTGTATATATATATACACACACACACCTTTGTAATAGCATTTTTGATGATACAATGCAGCCAATATAAAGAGGTTTGGAATGTTGCTAAATTAATTGTTGGAATATATTGGAACACTTGCTTTTCTAGATAGAAGGCTGTCTTTATTCAGAGACATTCTTGGGGATTTCTCTTTATTAGGGTTTTTTAATGAGGGGGGCGAAGTGATGGATTATATTTAATGTTCTGACTATATCAAGCCCCCAAGTAGCTCTCGTGACTTGCCTTCTCATTCACTTGCCATCTGTTGTATCCATCTCCACAGCACCCCCTATGCCAGTGGTACGAAGTACCTCTTGTATATAGGTTATTGCAAATATTGTTCTGAGATTCTAAAAGTTCAGAATTACATTTTTTTTAAATAAATAATTGTTTTAAATCTATTTTGTAAAGATATAAATGTTCCATAGAATTTCTGGAGCACAGATTAAACTTATTTGCACTAACAAATGTGATGTGCATGATTTAATAAATAACTTTACTCTGGTGGTTTGTTTAAAGAGTTTTATTGAGTAGACAAAATGTTATAGAATGATGTAATGGTTAAAAAAACAAAAAAAATCTTCAAAAAGTGACACGATTAATAGGGAAAAAAAATCCTTTGGAGCAAAGACCTGCCGGTTGCAAAATACAACTTGTGCCTTTGTGTGGAGCAGGCCATGATGACATTCAATCAATGGAGAAAGGAGGTGGATAGGAATTATTCTGCTTCCAAGAGGTGAAATGTTTTTTTGACAAAAAAACCCCAACAATTAACAAAGTAAAGGACCTGTTGCTGATTTCTGCCTCTGGGGGTGTGAATTGGTTCCACACATCTTATTTTTCTCCACCTTGTGTGCGCACATCATTGTTATTTAGCAGTAGGAGTGACAACTTGTACATTTCCTGAACTGATGCTTATTTCCCAAATTTTGGGCGAACAGATCCCTGTGGAGAGACCGGTTATATTTCAAAATGTTTGTCTTGTTTATATGGAAATGTATGTGTAAATACATTGTGGGTGAAATAGTGCAGGTAATTGGTAAATAAAATGCAGTTATTGATGTAAAGATGAACCCTTCCTACCAGCAAACACAAATCTGTAATAAACGCTGAAAAGTTATAATCGGAAGGTGTCTAACCGGAGGGGAAAAAAAAACACACAACCCTTTCCAAATGGGAATCTTTTTAAGTGGTCTCCAGAGACTGTTCTTGACAAAGGTGGGATGTGTAAATGCTTTGCTTTATCTCTAAAATAAACACCAAGCTGTAATTAATGTAGCAATGATAATGTAGTTTTGGTATGGGCATCTGTCCAAGTGGCCATTTTTCAGTTGCTTTACAAGTAGCACACTCATGTAATCACGGTTTAGGAAAGGAGTGTGTGTGTTTGTTTTGGACAATTTGAACAATTCGAATGTCTTATAATGCACACCCAGACGGATCAATAATATGGGATTTACCCGTGTAGTCTTATCAATCAATCAGTGTCCTATCCCTAGGAATGCTCAAAGTGCATTGGGCAGGCCTGTCAGAATTACACGTGCAGTCTGAAGATCTTTCATTTGCAAGATCTTGACGGAGAGAAATTATGGAGTATGATCA